GTTCAAGGAACCGCATTATTTCTAGGTATGCAAATATAAATCATTAGGTTTTATTCTTACTTTTTTTGCCGATGTTGTAGTGTCAGATTCTTGACGCATCCTCTTCGTGGTTACTTTCCTTTTTCTTAAATTATATTGACCCGACGACGTAGCAAACTCGTCCTAAATGTTATATCGAAATTAGTTAGGACCTCTAGGTTAGCGCCCAGATTCAGAAAGCGCGAATAAAACATTGATCATTGTTCTAAGGATTAAAACTGTAATTCATTAAGAACAAGCGCAAATAGACTTTTAAACATCAGGCAAGCACGAAGGTCACCTGGTCCCAACACTGCTTTTGTGGCTCGTCACGAAGACTTGAATGATAGAGAGCACGAAGGTCCCTATAACGCCACTTGCTCTTTCGCGCAAAAAAAACTTTAACCTTCATACCGTTTCAGATGTAGACATGAGTGAAGTCTTTTAAGTGATGGCACTACAAAGAAATGAACGCGTTTGGATACGCGTTCCTCCATTTATTTGATAAATGCTAATATCACGTGAATTAAGTTTTACTCGGAACATGATTGGCTGGAGATTAAATTTTACAAATTTTCCGTTTACAGTAATAATAATAATAATAATAATAATAATAATAATAATAATAATAATGTTACGGCCCATTCTGAGAATTAGCCCATTCTAAGAATGGGCCAGCCCGTTCTAGGATTCCGAAATGGGCCAGCCCATTTCAAGATGGGACAATTGCAAAAAATTTTTTCATCACAGTAACACACATATAACTTACAGGTCTTTAGTTTTTATAAACTTTGTTTTTTATAACAAAATGCTTTTGACTATTACTATGTTGTTATCAACAATTAATACAATAGGGTGACAGTTTGGGCTACAAATGCTATTCGCTCTTTTACAGGGACATCTTCTGGTAAAACAATATTTGCCCTACAATTACAATGAGCACTTTCATTACCGATGCTCTGCCTAATACTAACTGCTGCTGTTAATGAAATGGTTGTTTGCGGAATGTCTGCCAGTTCACTAAATTTCGCTTGAATGCCTTCCAAGTCAGCTGCGTATCAAGTATGCCGACACTGCAACCCAACTTATACCAACCTCCATCACCTTACATGGTAATAACCTTCTTCCTAATTTTTGCCTGTCGGGGCCTGGTATATCAAGTCTGACTATGTTACGATTTTCATACGATTATTCTTCGATACTTTCCAGTAGGCCAAAAGCAGGGCTATGAATCGTATGACGATTCTGTATTGCATACTTAATATGATCAATCATACGACTTAACGATTTACGATTGTCGAACAATTTATTCTTCGATACTGGCTATAAATCGTACGATTTACAATTTTTGATACTCAATATGGCTATCAACGGTCAATCATACGACTTAACAATTGACATAGATATCATTCGATCGACTTAAACAGTACAACTGTATACGAAGCAATTGAGTTAGAATGTATCTCACTAAGCACTGGCACATGTCTATTGAAAGTACTTTGATAATAGTAAGCATATTATTGTGCATCTTAGTCAAACTTCGCTGAATGTAGAAATCCGCAAGCTATCTGTATGTGTTACTGTGATAAAATTTTTTTTGTAATTGTCCCATCTTGAAATGGGCTGGCCCATTTCGGGAATCCTAGAACGGGCTGGCCCATTCTTAGAATGGGCTAATTCTCAGAATGGGCCGTAACAGGCATATACAAAAATCGAATAAAAAATACAATAATTAACGAATAATTATTTTCGAAAAATAATTTCCATAGCTATAATCCGCACAACCATCCCGCCGTACCACTGCATAAACACACGTCAAAAATTGTTACAAATTTCGTAAGTCAATACACCTCCAAGCTTAACAGTTACGCCGAAGAGTTGGTCAAAAAATTGAAAGACGCCAAAGCTGCACGAAAACGAATCCAGAAATTAGGATTTAGTAACGAACAGTATGCTCTTATCCCTGTGAAAGCTTCTGGTATATGTGCTACAGGAAGAGACTGTTAAAAAACTTGCTCAGTATATTAAGAAAAACGAAGATCTTGACCCAGAAAAAATATACGAAATGGCATACAATCTAGCAGAAAGCGCCTGTGTACCGCTCCCACGGAAATAGCTAAATTCACGTCTCAAATTACTTCGAAAAGAACTGCGTAAATTGGGTGCTGATAATTTGACAATAGAGGCAACATAGCACCCGATATCACCTACGCATTGAATAAAAAACAAAAAGAGCTACAAGAACTTCGTGAAGACAAAGGATTTGATTGTCCCGACTTCTTTACCCTCGAAAAGGTGCAAGAGCGGTTACAAAAATGCGATATATCCAATCCTCCCTCGATCCAAATTTAATAGATATAATGCTATTTATGTATGCGACCAGCAGATGTGAAAGGCCTTTGTATTAACTATCACAAACCGAATGGCGCAAACTGGTATAACTCTAAATATTCTTGGTACTGCACTGGATATGCTAAAAACAAAAATAATGAATCTCGACCATTTCTATCTATGGAGAAAAGTCCGGTACAGGCTCGAGAATTACTTATCTGGATCCAAAAGGCTATACCAAAAAGATTTTCATTCTTGTTAAAGGGTGAAGATGATAACGTAAATGTTTATACTATTAGTAACTTCTTAGCACCTTATGGTATTAGCTCAAGTCACTTACAGAAAATAGGAACTGATCACGTTTCCAGAGTGCATGGAGGTAAGAATGATTCCAGTCGCCGACATTTGCGACAACTGCACAAAATAGGACACGCTTCATCAGTTGAACATTATGGTGGAATGAACGATAAACCCGATGCTACAGCGGAAGTAGCTGAAATCATTGACTTATATAAATCTAATCCTCTGGTCACACTTCTTTGCTTTTACCGCATGGACTTTAATTACGCCCTCTTCATCACTAGACGATTCAGCGCTAGATCGGACTCAGATTCAGATGAGGAACTACTAAGATCGTTTTTTTGTTTTTTTTACGCATTCTAGTGGTACCACTGCAACGTCCTTTGGGAATAACTGGATTTGATATCGCGTTTATAATTTCTCGATGAAGTTCAGGCTTCACTATCTTTAGTAATTGGTAGCCGTACGGCGGGGAGAAATCTGAATTTTTTTATTTAACATTTGTGATCTAAGACTGGATATGACTCTCCGGTAGAACTATGTGCAAGTGTGTTGTCATTCTTATGGAATAGCCGAACTGTCTCAATGTTGTTGTTATTTTCAGTTTCTACCAGTCGTTGGTATAACAATAATGATTCTCGCAAAGCTTATGCCCAAAAAGGACACTCGCTCCGCGCGTAAAACTCTCACTGTCAACGATTGTAGAGCGGCTTTGTCCGTCTGAAAATGTGGATATCTTGCCTCGCAGAGCGCTCTGCGCCTCATGAATATATCTTCTCCTTTCTTCAATCTCTTGGTGCCAAGTTTATCAGCGAAGACGCTCCCTTTGGGAGCTCGCATTATAATAAAACCGATTTTGAGCATGTTTCATAAGCCACCTGGCCGATAAAGCCATTCAATTATTGCATTCTCGATTTTCCTAATTGAACTAATCCGTTTTTTCCATAGATCGCTGGATAATAGTTGCTGCTCGATTTTTTTTATGCATATATACAAAATGTGCCACTTCCATTCTAACTGCAAGGGATTTAGAGTTAAGCAGCCAATACAAAATTTTGCCAATCAAATATTATTAATAAACGTTATGTATATATTTGGGTGGATGATGTTTTGCGAACCGTAACTACGATTCTGGTGTTTTCAAATTTTGAATACCATATTCAGTTAACTGGTTTCGGGTGTATTTGTTTACTGCACATGTTTACTAAGTTGATATTTCAACATGTGGATTTTAATAAAGACTTTTTATTTAATTGTTCATCACCTACCCGTATGGGCAGCACAATGTAAACTTGGCCAAATAACGATTTTTTTTTTTTCAACCAACTCCGCTGACTAACTCCGCAAGCCAACGCCGCGAGCCCACTCCACGAGCCAACTCCTGCAATGACGACGCAAACATAATCACACCATACTCCGATAACTGGGATGGTTGTAATCCGGTCAAAAAACTGAGAGCTTAAAATGGCTATAGGAGCATTAAAAATGGCACGGGATTGTTATGGTCCACACTAAGTAGTATATTTTTTTTATGCCTATGCTATTGGTATGTTGTGCTAGAACATAGATGATGGATCCCATCTAGTTTACATCGTTAGAACATGCTAGTAATAAATTTAAGTAATCAATGTAAAAACAACAGGCACATTAGCAGACTTGCTGCTTGGGAATGTGAGTAAAAACAATTTGACCAAAATTATAAGGTTATTATTAAAGGGTATTATATAGTCTTTACTGCTAGGATTTTAATAAATACGATTTACTGTCACTAACAACAAAAAACTTCTGATAGTGCTATGAACCAGTAAGCACATGGCCCTTGTGCTGTAAATTCCGAAATAATTAAAAACTGCTTATTTATTGTTAAACTTCATTGAATAGTTAAGAGACACGCGAGCAAAAAAATATATATATTGTGACTTCTTTGTCTCACACCCTTTCCACGTTGTCTGTTAAAAGTAAACTTAACCTATATAGCATTATTTTCTGTTCGCGTGTGCCCCATATGTCCTCAGTAGTCATGAATAAGTGGTATTTTAAATATCCACTGGATATTGTACTTGCGATGTTTAGGTAATAAAACAAGTTTACGTGTGGAAATCTCTACTTGAATCATGTATACGATCATGATTCCTATCCTGCAACTTCCCAACTTATAACTAATAGGAAGAAAAATCTGTTCTTCTACTTGTTATCAGAATAACGTTTAGTAGTAGTAGACAGGCCAGAGTTGTGAATCTCCACAACAAAAACATCCATTTAACATTAAGCTCACAATACAAGCAAACTAGATTATGTACAATCATTCGGATCGTTAACCTAATCTTTGCATCAAACGCAAATACTTTGCCGATCTAGAGAAGGGGAGTGCTGAATATTGTAGAATATTTATTGATAATAATAACTCCATGGTCGAGTTTTTATCATCATAGTTGCATTCTGTGGAATTCTTCGAATCGTACCCGAAGCTCTTCTTCCTCATTTGCGAGCATACGTTCAACTTCATCGGATGACGAATCTTCCGTCAATAAATCTATAGAAAGAAAACAACAACGAGGAGCGGAGGAATTATCGGATAAATAATGAAATCTATTATGTTGATCATGTGGTTAAAAAACACTAACCTCTTGAGATTTCTTGTAGAAATTCTTCTTCCAATAAAGCTGCCATGTCAATGTCCACATCTCCAACGGATGACGCATAATCTTTCTCATAAGCAGTTTGAAATAATTCCCATTCGCTCAGTATTACATTGCGAAGCCACTGATTAAAAATTAAATACGAACGCAAAAATAGTTTGT